AAAGGAGCACAGTACTAGAATACAGAGCTGAAAGGAATCGAGAATAAAAGTCTAACCCGAGATAAATAAGGTATGCGGTAGATAAGATAAAGAGTGCCAAAGTCCATGAGTCAGGGGAATTTGGCGGAACTGCTGTACAATTTGATATGAAAACGTTTGATAAACATGGGGGAAAAACAATAAACCATTCCTTTACCTATTTTTTTAAAAATAATACAAACGCGAATCGCTTTCGCAAAAGCAGTATACTCACGTAAAAACTTTATAAAACGCAATTTTCTCACGAGATTTTACTTCAGAGAGTGTGAAAACGGCTTGAAGGTCTTAATTCTACGCAAATGCGGTTCCTTTTAACAAGGGAAGTTCTTGTTTGGTTAGGTACTCCACGAAGACGATTCCTCTCTTGCCAGCAGTTTCGATACCCTGTAGGTTCCTGCGTGTTTTTAAACAATTCTACATAAAAGTTGTGTATTAAATTATGGGGAAACTGTTTAGAAACCCGAATATGTTGTTTGTCTTAAAATGTTTTAATTAAGCAATACAATTTACCTTAAGACTTCAAACAAAATTATACACAAGAAAAAAAACATATACTGACAAAATATGCGACAAATTTACGACCTACATCACAGAAAGGCTCCGTGAGATACAAAAAGCAAAGGATTAAAAATAAAATGATTAGCCTAGGATATGACTTACAACTGAAAATAAACATCTAATCCAAATCATCTCGGTTCTTATCCCTTCAGCATTTATAAAAAAACAATACAGGAAGAAACAGGATGAACAGATGGCCAGACTAGATTAACGATCCATGATCAAACTGTCTGGTAAAAGAAATAAATTAGTTTAAGGGGAAAAAATAATGAAAACAGTCAGTACTTTTTAACATGCAGCAATGAATTTTTGTCAGCCAATGAAAAATACTACTTCTTGCTTATGCCAACTTATGAGAATTAATGACGATAGTGAATCTAACAAGTGTGCAAAACTAGAAATTATGTAAAAGCGTCTTTTTTATCATCTAACACTTTTATTAACTTCGAAATGATTGTCCATTTAACACTAACTTTATAACCATACAACTCAATAAAAAAAAATATATTTGTTTTTAATTTTTTTATTAATCAATAATATTATTATATTATGCATTACTATTATTATAATATTATTTTTTGTATTACTTTTTTTACAAACATCTAGTCGTTACCTACCATTTCGGTCTGCTTACCCACGTTGGATTTGGTACGTCCGAAATACACTGAAGACGGGAAAATTCCGAAATTTTTCCGACAGACATGTCACCAATTGGCAGACGAAAATGATCGGTAACCGAATTTCAGGTGCATCATTCTTATAAATGGGGAAATCTCACAATTTAATAAAAACTCGAATTAAATCAAAATGAATTTTTAAGTAGCATTTTCTTCAAGTTGTTAAAAAAAACGTAATACTTTTAAGCAGCTGAATATTGATTCAAAATAAAAATGTTTGTGCTATTTATATATTCTTTCCAACGTACGCCCAAAATTTTTATGTTTAATATAAAACAAACAAAAAACACAAAGACATGGCAGAAAATGCACATTTATGTTGCACTATGGAGGCTTCTGTCAACCACTATCCTTCAGAGGGGCACAAATATTTTAAAAAAATACATATTTTTATATTGGTCAAAACCCTTAACTCGTCATATTTCAAACAAAAAATGACGGGAAACTAAATTGTGTAGTCTACTTCAGATGCGAATTAGTTAAAAATTAAATTAAATCAACTCCAAGTCGAATAAACAGAACAAAGACATCACAAATACAAAAACGGTCTTTAATCCTTAAAAAAGTTCATGTTCACACACGTTTCACGCCATTAAAGAAAAGCTGCAGAACTTATATGTTTTATTATTGTTTTCCTTATTACTCTGGTTTTGTATTAATGGGGCTGCCGAATATAATTGAGGGCAAAGCATAAAAAAATGAAATCCCAACATCGATTTAGTTATTAAATTCCAGTCCGCTGTTCATCATCTATACGTTACGTTTTTGTCAATTTTTGATTCGTTTCACGCCTTCATCAATGAATCATTACCTTTTTTTGTAAACAAAAGAACAGCTTTTGTGACATGAGTTATTACAAAAATTGTGCACATAAATGATTCACTGATGAATTAATGAGGTGGTAGCTAAGAAACAGGGAAAAATTGCGAACCGAATCCAAACTTACAAAATATTTAGAAAACAACCTGAAAACTCGTAGATCATGGGTTCGAATCCCGCCTTTGAATTTTCGAAAAAATAGTATAATCAATTAATCGAGTGTAACCTGAAAACGTTTTTTACGAGTATGGCAACCGGAAAGATGTTTTTCAATATTTATGCCGACCACGCGATTCTAGCAGACCCTCCTTATCTCATTTCCTTTAGGCGATAGAGTAAGGCGAAATAATAAGATTTACTAACAAAATAGATATTAAATAAATTTGAAAAAACCTTTGGATTTCATAAGATTAAGTAATTTTTTTTAAATAGTTCACAAACTCCTATCTTTTTGAGCGGGAAATTTTTGAACTGGGAACTCGAAATGTGGTATGGTCATTTTTTCCAGTCGGTCCATGTATGTAACAGTTACGTAAACCTTCAAGCCACAACTTGAAAACCGTCTGGCAGAAGAGAAAAAAAAGCACAAGTTAGTTGGCGATTTATACGAACTAAAACGAGATTATCCCATTTCAAAGCGTTTATCCAAAAATTGGACATTTGTAGCAGAATATCGACTTCTGGTGCTGTGTACGCTGATTTGAGAAAAATGAGAAAAATACCTGAAGAGCGAACTGTGGGGGTGTTCATTTTAATTAAGTATGGGTGAATTTCGCGATGACTAATTTCTGTACCTTAGGGACAAAAATGTATAAATTAATTAACTCAACTTTTAAGGATTGCTATTTTAAACTTTATACTTTTGGTAAAAATTAAATTTCAGTATTTTTTTGGACTCACATTTCATCAAAGTCGAAGTAGTTGTTTTAGTAAAAAATAGATTTATAAGCAATTCGAGATTACCAGTAGACAAGTAGAATTATCGACATGTTAACATAATTTTCTAGATGTCCAGAAAGGCACATTGCGTTTAAAAAGAAAATGGTTTGCTTATCAATAATTTATACCCTGCCAGGCCTTAAGGCTTACTGGAATATTTTGTGAAAATTTGGCTTTTCCGGTTTTTCCTCGAGGATGCAATTTAATGTTTATAATATTTAAAATTGTCTTTACGAAATGTTTGTTGTAAGAATTTTTTTCATACAAATCAAACTTCCAAGAAAATGGATGGTAATGCAGATAAAATTATCTATGTAAGATGGTTGGATATTAAAATTAATTAATAATTTTTGCATAGTAATTGCCTAAAATCTTACTGGAATATTTCGTGAAAATTTTTGATTTTTCTAGTTTTTCCTCGAGGATGCACATTTAATGTTTGTAATATTTAAATTACTCATGGTCTTTACGAATTTAATGGTAATGCAGATAAAATTATCTATGTAAGAGGGTTGGATGTTAATTAATTAATACTTTTTGCATAGTAATTGATGAACCACTTAGAAATGTGTGGTATTTAGTGACCGTTAAGTAATGATTATTTAGAGATCCATGAGATGCGGTCTGGTGTGAAGTAGATTTTAGAAAAACATTTTCTTTATCGTGCCAACGTTTCGATCTTTATTGAGCTCATCTTCAGCGCCTGGGACTTATAAACATTGTTTAAATCACACAAATCATCATTGTATAGAATAAAATTTAAACAATGTTTATAAATCTCAGGCCCTGAAGATGGTCTCAATAAAGATCGAAACGTGAGGAAGATAAAGAAAATGTTTTTCTAAACCTACATCACACCTGACCGCAGCTCACAATCTCTAAATAATCATCTTTGAAACCTTCATCCAGGCAAAAGTAGCAGAAATGACGAATTAGCGGTTTTTATGAATGAGTAAACAGCAATACCCTAGGTGTTTGGTAATTTTTAGCTTTTTTTTGGGAGGGGGGCATGCAATTTTCCCATCGTCCATTCGCAGGCCACGTCGGCCGGTTTGTCCATCAGTCCCTCCTTCAAAGGAAATCAAATTTTCCAGGGATATTCAAGCAGATACGACAAAACTCTGTGGGAGTGAAGATGGAAGAAATTTATTGATCAAACAAGAAGTAAGCAGTCGATTCGAATCGAGGGAGAGGGTGACGTAGCGTCTGACGCAAAGCCGGCTTACTTTCCATTGTCATCCGTAGTCCGCACCGACCGAAGAACGGTGAGGTCAACCATCCCAGGGTGTCGACGTCGCACTCAGAACCCCCGGGGTCGATAGCGACCGTCATAAAGCACAAACCCGACAACGTAATTTGGCTGAAATCGTTTTTTTCGGTCGGAAAATCGAATGTTTCGACGTCCGCGAATTTTTCCAAACGCCCGGCTTCGCCGAAAAAGGTCCCTCGGCGAGGGAATATGGGTCCCAACCGTGACGGGCGATAGGCGGCCTCGGTTTCTATTCTCGGTCCAGACGAAGACCTAATAATATCGGAGCTTCGGTTTAAATCAGTAACGGCGCGCGATTTCTCGATTTAGAGCCTTGCCGCACGTCGTCGGGGAAAAACGCTTTTCGCCCTTGCAACGACGTACGTCCGGGCGAAAATAGCGAGAGCTTGCAAGGGTCATTGAACACGGGCGGGGGTCCTGCAAGACGGCCGGTTGGTAACAGGGCACATCCTGCCCTCGAAAGGAGGAACGTTCCTTTATCGCCCAGTCCTCCATCAGCACCGTTTCCTTCAAAAATACCTCAAGCATTGCAAATTAATGCGCAACATGTGAACGGCGATCGGCTCCACGTCACTTGCTATTACGTCATATCATTAAATTCCCTTTAAACTTACATAACTACACTTACAAATCTTAATAACATTTTTAAAAGAAACCTTGAAAATAAGAAAAAAAAATTTACAAAAATTTCTACTTACAATTCTTTTTTCACGAAAAATCCTTCGGATGTGTCAAATTGGAGAATCCATCTCCACTCGTTTTTAAACCAAAGTAATTTAGAAAAAACACAAAGCACAGAACGGTTTTCTCAATTTTTTTTTTATAATAAAAATACTCAAATGGATCCGCAAGTGTGAGAGGGTTCACAATCGAGACGCACGGAAATGAGAGTACGGGGAAAAGCTGTTGGCCGGTCTGAGCCTGAACTGGAAATGAAACACGTTTGAAGGAAGGCGTTGCGGGGAGGGATTCTCGCCCCGCGCCCCACCACGGGCCCCGTCTGGGTCCTTAACCCCGCCCGCCCGTCGCGACAGATCCCCCCCTCGCCGCCGCACCCCCACCGACGGCCCGTCCGCCTCCCCGCCGCACTGCCTCGTCACCCGTCACTCCATCAAACCTCCTTGGAATTTTATACTTTTCACTCCTTTCCTTTTGTCTGTGGTCTCGGCGTTTTTCGCCTCTTCGTCCGAGGATCCGCGGCAGCCGGTTCGCTCGTCGGGAAGGCGACGGCGATAAATCCGCCGCACCGGCACCGCTTGATGATCCCACGGGGAAAAAAACGTTGTAATGCAAAATGAGTCTGCCAATGACTAATGCAACGCCACCGGGTTTCTCCTTTGAGACAAATCGCCAATGCAAATTTGAACCATCCGACGTGAAAACTTTTCGCACAGAAAACTGCCGGACAGAACCCACTTCTTACGAACACACACAAAAAAAAATTAATTCATAAAAAATAAACCAGGGTTTCACAAATTTTAGCCCGCGGACGGCTTTCAGAGGACAAAATTTAGCATGGATCCCTCAGATTAAAGTATTTAAAATTAGATATTTTTAATATATACGGTAAATTAAAAAGTTAGAAATTAGCCAGTTCATTCTTAACTAGGTGATGGAGAGAACTACTATGAACTTCAATCATTAGACATGACATTGACATACTTAACTTTATTCACAAAATCCGCAACCTAAAAATCGACCCAACGGAATCAATAGTAAAACTCCTTTGTTTGAGCCTGCACAATTTGGATATGTCGGGTTTGATTTTTGATAGCTGGAGACGGATGTCCGGTTCAGCATTTAGAAAGCTTCGGAATTTAGTTTTGGTGGCTGTATATGTAGAAAATCCAGATTCGGATAGGTAAGTTGTGACAAATGTAAGAAGAATAGATTTTGCTTTTTCAACGAGCGGTTGAAATTTTTTGTTTTCAAAGACGGAGTCAAAATAGGGGTATCGGTCTAAAAAGTAGTTTTGAAGGTAGAGCCTTGAGGTGTCGGTGGCCGCAACGGTTTAGGTGTTGACACAGTGTTCATCATTGTAAGGCAAAGGTTTCGGGTTCGAATCCAGCGGCCCTTCATTCGAACCGGACATACTTACAAATGGTTTTTTTTTTCAAAAATATCAGCACCCCGAAGGTTGATATAACCTTCGAATTCAGTTGAATATAGACTGGTTGGCTTTGTCCGAAACTGAAAACGGACTTGCAGCATTGTATCTCGACCTGTTGGGAAATCAAAGTGCCGTTTGCAAGCTCCAGTTTGTTTCCTTTAAAAAATCATTTAACACAGGAAAAGACTTCACATCTTCCTTGTCACAAGATTCAACCCAAAACCGGATATTTCTTTTGAAGGCGTGAACTCTGTCATAGTCATCGAAAGATCTTATGTTCTTCTCTTGCAAAGAAATACTCACCTCTTTCATTGTAATGAAAATATCTTTCAAATACGACAGTATAAATAAACATTTCTCATCATTGAACACGATGGCCGATTTAACATTGTGGTCCTGTAATCGTGAAAGTGCTTTCCCACAAGACAGCCACCTCACTTCTCCATGGAGAAGGAGGGAATGATGAAATCTTCCCATATCGTAATCGTCATAGTATTGTGAAAAGTCTTGACTTCAATGCCAGCGACTTAATGTAATTAATAATTCGACCAGACTCGTCCAATACTTTTTTTAAAAAGGCTGGCATTTGTTTCATAGCTAAAGCAAGCCTGTGGAGAACACAATGACTGCTGCTGCAAAATAAAATAAAAACTTTGGTTTTCAGTACTCAATGTTGTAAGTTTTTTAATTCTGTTTGTTCTTTATAAGTTTATTTTTGTAATTATTAATTTTTCTCTGGGTTTTGGTTTGGGGAGCCCCGCTCTAGCCTTTAGCTCCAACTGTTTATTAGTTTATTTTTTTTAAGAAAGCTTTTCTCTTCCATTGTAAGCATCTTCAGTCCTTATCCTAGACATAAATAAATAGAGTGTTAAAAAAATAAATTTTGAAAAATGTGTGTACTAATGTTTACCTACAATTAGCATGGAAAAAATACTAGGAGTAATCCCCCCACATCACATGGTAGTAAGCACAGCTCAGAAAACCATCATCAACTTTGCCAAAGAGAAACCTCCAACAGGAATAAAACTGAAATGGAGAGATAGCAATAAACTATGGAAAGACCATCCGATACTCATGGCCCAAGAGACGACATGAACAGGATGTTTGAATTTAACCAAAACTTCCGAATAAACCTGGGTCCAAAAAAGAATGGAAAAGAGAGGGAAATAACTCTTTTAAAAATGGCACCATCCTTTGGTACACAGATGGATCTAGAAGACAAGAAGGAACAGGGGCAGGAGTATATGGACCTGGAACCAAATACACAGAACCCATGGGAAAATACACCAGTATCTTCCAAGCTGAGATTCATGCAGTCGAAAGATGTACCTAACTCAACCTAAATAAAGGGTACAAAAACAAGAATATAGCTATCATGTCTATCATGTCAGATAGCCAAGTAGCCATCAAAGCACTAAGTTCAAATATCATTAGTTCAAGGATGGTGCTGAACTGCAAAACCAAACTAAATACATCAGGTATGCAGAATAAAGTCAGCCTCTGCTGGGTCCCAGGACACATGAGAGTAGAAAGCAACGCGAAAGCGGACACCCTTGCAAGGAAAGGAGCTGCTACACCGCTAATAGGACCTGAACCGTTCTGTGGCATAGGAATCCATACTATTAACGAATATCTCAGACAGAAGGACAAAAAGAAAATGAGGAAACTTTGGAATTCATTCATTGGACATAGACAATCCAAGAATCTTCTAACCAATTTTGGTAGGAAAGAAATTACAGAATGTGCCAAAGGAAGCAGGAACAGACTGCGAATCCTAATAGGATTCCTAACAGGACACCGCAAATTAAATGGACACTTAAAGAAAATTGGAACAATCCAAGATGGCACCTGCAGATTCTGCAAGGAGGCAGAAGAGACACCAACACATTTACAACAAACTGCGGCGCTACACTAGCCCGCAAGAGGAAATGTTTTAGGATGTATAATGTGACCATAGAAGAGCTTCAACCACTGAAACCGGGCCTATTAATCAAGTTTCTTTTTTGATGAAATAGGACTCACCGATGTGCTTTAGGCAGAGCACGGGGAATACAGTAGATCTGAAAGGGCGCAGTATACTATACCCTGAAATTACATCTACGTCTACATCTACAATGTTTACCTAATCTTATAGTTTACATCTAATGAATTGAATGAAAAAAAGAGGTATAGATAAGAAAGATGATACTATGAGGAGATGCGAGAAGGAATCATAACTTTTTAAAAGATACAGTTCTTCACCGTGAACTTTACGGAAGGAGACCAAACAAGTTGGAGGGCCTGGAAATAAACATACCAAATCACAATCCATACACAATCACCCTCAATGACCGACTGGATGTAGAGGTGAAATTTAAGTAAAGTAATTCATTCGGTGGCTGGATGGGTAAAGGTCGATTCATTCACATCAGTGACGAGACAGTGTCGTGACCGGCGGGTTTGAAAATATTCTTGTTGAAAACTGAACGGTTTAGTTCACATTAGCCTGGTGCTCGACCGTGGCCGTGCCAACATTGCTGCCGTTGTCACCGGACCGTGATCGTCGGATTTCTTGTTGACGATATTTTACAGTTTTCACGGCCGTACAACATGAATGACGAAGTTGAAAATTTGAGTTTGTGCGAAAGAATCCAGTGTTGTTTGATCAGGCAAATTCAAAATACATGGACTCAGATTTTACGAATATTCTCTGGAGGAAAATATGGGAGAAACGAAAACAGATGGTGAAGAAAGAACGTGTTTATTTCAGTACTGTTTTAAATTATGGATAGCAACGGGTATAATAAATTAGAACTTGTTTTAAGTTTGTTGGGTATTTGATAACCACGGAAGAGATCCAGCATCAGAATTGAAATAATCAGTGAATATTTCTCGCCCTCGAAATCTGTCTTTGCATTCCCTCCTTGTAAACGTAAATTTTTTAGTCTTCCACTCCTCGAATCCACTTGGGAAGTAACGTAATTATATCGTATTCTTAATGTATTATGAAGTTTAAAGTTTAAATCTTAAGTTATGCAGCAAGCAAAATTTTTCTCCATCGTCCACTAATTCTTTGAAAAGTGTAGCATATTCCCCTTCTGGCCCTCTCTTGTTCCATGCTTGATGGGCGCCCTTTCGTTTTCTTGCTTGTGGTTCCTCTTCTTCATTCGAAATCAGTGCCATAATCAAAAGTTCATCATCTGAACACATTGCCATTTTGGCCACTCAAGTCCACTGCAAGACACGGATGAAACACTGACCAGTATTAATAGAGAGCCCTATACGATCACAGTGACCGGGAATAAAGGCTGTCACGGCACTGTCACGTCACTGATGTGTGTAGATCGACCGACTGAGGTCTGCCCCCGGACTGCCAACACCCAGGGATGGGTGATTCTCGACTCTGCCGGCAATTTACTGTATATTGCACAACCTGGAATTGCCGGGGGACTACAAGAAGCGAATAGGCTAAACTCGGCCCTTGCTCGTATATACATACATGTGTGAATTTGAACCTGTACAAATCCAAACCCCAAAATTCAAATATCGATCGACGGTTGGCTCAAATTTTTAAAATTGGTCTGGACTAACTAGAAGGGAAGTTAGCCCCTAACTTAGAATATACACTCTATTATTTATTATTTAATATAATTTAAGTATTGTTTTTTCGTTCGTTTTGTACGTAAGTATGCAAGAAGTCTGCCATATTCGGAAATGTTTCCTCTTTCCTGACCTATAAGTTTTCACGTCATATCGAATTTGAAACAAAAATTTTAAATTAGAACTTGCATTCATGTATTAATAATTATTTTCAACTTTATCAGTGTCATGAACAGCGTTTTGAAAAGAGCGTTTT